TATATATATATATATATATATATATATCTGTTTATAGAGAGAGTGGGAGAGAACAAAGGCAAACAAGGAAAGAAGAAAACGAGCAACGGGAACAGAGGCTCACATAGCATGTTGCTCTACTTTGTGAATAATGTGGCGAGCCGCGGCACCGTCGATGCGGAATTTGTTGTTCCTCATCCCTCGCTACCGTTCGTTGCATCCGTATGGTCAAACCCGGCGCACGTGCTGGTAACCGATGCGGAGGGGGAATTCATCGCGGACAGTCCACCGCTGCCCACCTCAAAGGAAAACGAGAAGGTGACCTGTATGGCGTGGCATCCAACTCAACCGACACTGGCAATTGGATGGGGAAGTGGAAGACTTGCCGCGTGGACGCTTCAACCTGTGTCTACAACACCTGCCTTGGGAGCAGCAAAGGCGGTGCCACTCGCAACAAGGAAAGAGACCGTTGCCTCACCACAACCGCCGGTGGACGCGGATAGAGCGTTGGCGCAACATGACGGGGGCGCCGTAACGGCGTGTGTGTGGTCCGGCGCAGGGAACTTTTTGTTGACGGCGTCGAGCAAGATGCGTGTGGTGGTGTGGGCAGTGGAGAACAGCGCTGCTGCCACTGGCAAGAGTGGTGACGACAATGTTGCTGCAACGATATGGTCAGTCTTTGTCCCGTTGTGGTCTGTTCTGACGGAAGCGGTTATAACCCACGCAGTGCATGCGTCACCATCTCTTCTACAGTCTGCGCAAGTGTCCCCACAGCAGCAACAGCAACAGCAAGAGCAGCAAAAGCAAGAGCAGGGTGGCCGAGACGTCGGCCTCCCCCCGAAGGCTTCTTCCCGTCGTGAAATGGAAGATGAGGATGAGTGTGTTTTCTTTCTTGGTGGTGCAGGCGAGAAGCGAATGTTTGCATTGAGCGAGGAACAGAAGCTGTTCCCGCTCCTCGCCCTTGATGAGCCCCCAGCAATGGTTCTATACAACGCTACCGAGCGTTGTCTTGCTGTGTTGAGCGTGACCAATTTGATCAGTGTGTACCAAATCTCTGAAGCTTTTTCGGCCAAGTTGCTTCTTCGGCGCAAGCTGTCGACTCCGAGTCCCAGTGTCACGACGGAACGATTCACGTTGACGATGCGTTGGGCCGGCTCTGGGCTTCTTGCCTTCGGCTGCGGCGATGACCGCGTCCGCTTCTTTGACATCCGCAGCGACAGGATGTACGTTGTGCCCCACCCAGCACTTGCCGCATCGCATATCACCCACATTGCCACAAAGACGAAGAACGGACTGCTGGTGATGGCGACCGCAGAAGGCCCCCTGGCAGTGTTCCAGCGCCTGGTTCCTGACCAACACAATCTAGACTCTGCTGCAGCTGACGGGGTACCCCATACACCACCTCATGCCGGATCCAGCAACGCACATATCAACAGCAACGGTATCAATAGGAGCAGCACCGATCCCGCGGAAGAATGGGAGCTACTAACTGTCGTTGAAGTGGAGGGCCATGTGGATCGCGTGAGCTTCACCACTGCTGGCCACATCGTTGTAGCACTCGGGAACGGGAAGCTACAGATCCTCCGTGAGACACTGCGTAAGCGTGCATGGGACGGTGTTGCCGCAGCCACGCAGATCTCGATGGAAACAGTGGTGGTGGAAAGCATTACCGGCTGTCAGTGCCTACTGAAGAGCACCTCGAAGGTGCGTGGCCTCTCGGTCGCATTCCCCATCATCGGTCTGTGGAATGGCCAGCAGATTGACCTCTACACCGTAAACGAGTCCACATCGACGGCGTCGCTGACGAACTTTGTACCGACAATAAGCCCAGTATTTGCGGTGCACCCGGAGGGTCTCTTCTTTGTAAGGGACGCCAACCGCATTGTCTTCACCAACTTCCAACTCGTCACTATTGGGCAGATTGGTTTCACGGAAGCGGAGGGCACGCCGACGATTGTTGACGTGATGGGTGATGTTGTTGTGGCCATTTCGTCCACCAACGCGATGCGCCTCGCGCGGGTGACCGGTCGCGAGTTACGTCCACTTGGCCCGCCCCGGAAGCTTCCACTCGCTGAGCACGGCATCATCGTGACAGACGCAAAGGTTAATGCACAGGGGCGCCGCGTTGCCCTCATGACCCGCCGGATTTCAGACGATCAGCCGGATAGTCGCATCTGGGTGTATGACTGCGACACGGACCAGATGTGCTCCCACGATTTTGCTGAGCGGGAGGAGATGCCAGACGCGGTGTATTGGAACACACCAGAGCCAAACAGCAATACAATTGGCGAGCTTGCCTTCCTCCTTCTAGCATGCGAAACACACCAAGTGAGAAAGAATCCTGCCCGACAACAACAGAGACTTCAGAGCCGCACTGATTTGGACGACGAAGACGATATTTGCAGCAGTACCACTAAATCACAGAAGCGTCGCAGCTCGTTTGCCCCCTCTTTAAGTCGTGAAACGGAAGGAGTATTGACAAATGAAGCGATGCCAGACCTTGAAAACTTCGCGGAGAAGAAGCAACTGATGGAGGACCGACAGATGAGTGGTATTTGTGGTGTTAATCCACTTGCCAACCGCACGCACTCTGTCGTGACACTCTTTGCCACTAACAAGGGCCTTGTCGTGCACAACGCTGTTGTGCTGAGGCGGTACCACATCTGCCTGGTGGGACTTACTATACCTGACTTTCTCCTTGCATCGGTGCGTATCAACGGCAATCCGAGCAACCCCGAAGATTACATGATTGAGCAGAAGCGGCTGCGCGATTTTGAGGGTCTCAAAACAGAGAAGGATGCTGCCGTGTTGGAGGCACTCATGAAGTTTAGCTACTACTCCACCATTGGTAATATGGATGAGGCGTACCGCTGCGTTAAGACAATCAAGAGCCCCACCGTGTGGCAAAGTCTTGCGAAGATGTGCGTCTTCTCTGGTCGTCTTGACGTTGCAGAGGTGTGCCTTGCGCAGATGCAGGACGGCGTCGCCGCCAGCGCCCTTCGCGAGGCGCGCCTCAAGTACCCAGATGAGAAGGATGTGCATGTCGCAACTCTCGCGTGTAGTCTCGGGCTAGTAAAGGAGTGCGAAGGGCTGCTGCGCAAGGCGAAACGCTTCGACCTCATAACAGACCTGCTCCTTGCATGTGGCAAATTCGAGCAGGCACAGCGGCACGCGCGACGGTACGATCACATCCGTACCTACCCTGTTGCATACAAGTACGCGCAGTTCATGGAGTCCTTCTCCAACTTAGAGGCGGCAACGATGTGGTACTTCAATGCCAAGTGCCTTTCTACCGATGTTGCCCGCATCTACTTTCAAAACAACCGCCTGAACGAGCTGCGCGATCTGGTGTTTCCGCCAGTGGGCCGCGCAAAAGAGAATGGGAGTCCCACCGCCGCCACTGCCTCAAAACGGAATGAGGCTAGCAAGTCCGAGAACAAGAACAACGCCAAAGATGATGGCGTTAGTGGGAAGCCTTCACCAGGTGCTTCAGCAAGGGCAACCAGTACCGAAAAAACGGAAACGAGGAGCGACCGTGATAACGAAGAGGAGGAGGTGCGGGCTACTTTTGAGAGACTCTTCTCACACAACAAGGAATTGCTACTCTGGTGGGCGCAACACAGTGAAAGGCGGCGACAGTTTTCAGAAGCCCTGAAATTTTACAATCTTGCAGAGGACACCTTCAATGTTGTGCGGATGCTGTGCTCAGAAAATCCCCCGCGCATAGATGATGCGGTGGACCTCGTCAACAAGGCCGTGGAGAAGGCGCAATCACAGGCCAGCAGTGCTGCAACAGCTGCAGGCGCACTAGCAACAACCGTCGATGTGGAGCCTGTTGGTGCGGCGTACTTTGTTGGTCTTCACTATGAGCGTACTAACGAGGTTTCGGCAGCGCTGCAGTACTACAAACACGCCGCTGCGTGGCGGGCCGCCGCACGGGTGGCGAAGGCGCATCAACGCTATGGAGAATTGCTCACCCTGTCGCTCGCGAGCGATGACACACACCTGATGTTCGACAGCGCGACATATCTAGAACTAAACAACGCGTACGACAAGGCGGTAGAATTGTACCACCGCGTTGGCGATGTGCAGAAGGCCATCGAAGTGTGCATTAAGGGTGGGCTCTACGACACAATGCACCGCATCAGCACTACACTCGATGCCCAAAGTGACCCGGAAGTGTTCATGCAGATGGCCACCCACTTCGTGGAGAGTGGGCACTACGGCAAAGCGGCAGAAATGTATATCTTTGCTAAGGCCTTTCCCCGCGCGCTGGAGCTCTGTACGGAGCGTAACGTCCCGCTCACCGATGAAATGGCGGAGGCAATGACGTCTGACGCCAACTGCAGCGGCATGACGGAGGAGCAGCGCACTGCATTGCAGCAGCAGATCGCTGGTATTGCAAAGGATCAGGGGAACTGGAACCTCGCCTGCAAGAAGTACACGCAGCTGGGAGAACGAATCAAGGCAATGAAGATGCTCATGCGCGGTGGCGATGTATCGAAAGTCATCTTCTTCGCGAATCACTCCCGAAACGCGGAGATCTATACCCTAGCCGGCAACTTCTTACAATCGCAGAGTTGGCACACTGATGCGAATATCTACAAGCACATTGTTCTCTTTTACACCAAAGCCAAGGCGTTAGGGAACCTCATCTCCTTCATCGACGCCTATGCGCAGCTGCAGATTGACGAAAACCGCAACTACTACGAGGCGTGGCGCGCATTAGACGAATGCGTGCATGTGCTTGAGCGCAACCATGACGCCGTGTACGGTGGAGGCAACTTCATGGCAAAGGAAGAAGGCCTGCGCAAACGCCGAGACACCGTGGCGCTGGTCGTGAAAGCGCTAAAGCTGCTGACTGACTCCGCAAAGGACACAGCGCTCGCCTCGGAGTGCGTCGAGGTCTGTTCTGACCTCATTAAGCGCAGCCGGCCCAGCCACCACGACAGCACCGCTATCGCGGCGGCCATCCGCATAGGTGACGTCTTTGCGCTGCTCGTACGATTCTACCAGGAGAATGCGAAGTCGTCCAAGGACGCTCTGCGCGTGATCGAAAGTATGGTGAAGCACGGGGTGGAGCCACAGTTTTATGTTGAGCGCGATTTGATGGAAACGGTGTGCAACGCAAATGGGCGGAAAGTTACGGAGTTCATAAGTGAGACCGCCGCGGCTGTGGACAATAAAAGTGAGCGCCGTGGGAGCGCCACTGACGAGACCGTGTGAGGAGACGAGCCCTTTCGTTCCACCCGCCGATACACACACAAAGAAGGAACTGCCCTCTCTGTCGACGTGGGTGGCGCATGTCCGTTTCCAGAGAAAAGAGAGAACAACTGAAGCAAGCAAGAAGAATAGTGAAGGAAGAAGAGAGAAATAGCAACATTTTCGACATGTAGAGAGCACAATTCACGTGATGCGCAATGTCAGTTCCTTATTTCTCTTGAGAATACATTGGAGAAGTGGGGGGAGTGAGCTGTGGCTTGGTTCGCTGCTACCGGTACTTTCCATTTGTTACGAATCATCCCATTTTTCCCTTTTCGCGGTGCAGTAGAACGTACAGCGGGGGGTGTCGCAGTGGCGTGGGGTGTTGGTATAACTATGGCCAAGACCTGTATAATATTGTATGGGAAACTGTTTTTGTTCTTGTTTTCTTCTTGCTGCACCTACCGGTAGGGCGTATTAAGCGTGCAGTGCGCGGGGATAGAGTGGTAGTGCGAGTGGAGGAGTTCCGCTGATAGAAGCGGGTGGGGGGCAACGGTGCGGTGCCAAACTTCGTTACCATGGTGCAGAAGAAAATAAAAGTCTTCCCACCCACCAATGGTGGAAGCGGTGATGGGGATGATCTGCTTCAGCAGGTTGGCGATGACGAAAGCGCTGTGCCTCCACGATGGACGGCCGCTGCCGTGAGGAAGCGGGAACAGGTGCGCTACGGAGGGCCAATCAAACCCACCCAACAGCAGGGATCTCGTCAGCAACAGCAGAACAAAGAAAAGGTTATACCGAAACCACGGGTCTGCAATGTGATATTTCCTCATGTGAAGACTTCCACTGACAAGACGACAACATCCCTTCTAAACGGTGATGAATCATATTTACCGACGGCTTGGGCTGCGGGTGGTGGAAGCGCCAACAGTAGCGGGCTTGGCTTCAGCAGCCCCATCTCGATCGGTGGGGTCATGCCGCAAAAGGCATCTCGGCATCTTCCGCTCGCTTCAGCACCTGATCCGTTTCTGCTCCGACAGTCTGGTCGCCACCCACCGCGGCCTGAGGCTCTCATTGTGCACCCGCAGGGGTTCCGTATTCTTAAGAACCGCAGCGTGATGGAGCGATCGCTGCGCAGCTACTTTCGCCTGCCGCCTGCCCCGAGCGCGTACCTTACGCAGGAACGCATGCGTGCGCAGCGGCAGCTGCTGACAGTTGAGATAGCAGAGGACGAAGAAGAATCGCGATTCTTTGGGGCTACGGTGGACGGCCCACTGGGGCAGCAGCCGATTGGCTCGTCGCCGATGCAGCGGTGCATGCTGCTGGACGGCTTCATGCTGCTCTGCGCAGGTGGAAAGCCGGAACCTGAGGCCGTGGAGGCGGTGACGCTGCAGTGCTCACACCTCGTTGGCGTTATTGAGGATGACCTGATGCACTTCTTGAACTTGCGTTTCCTTGATCTGAGCGAGAATGAGCTTCTACTTGAGCATCTCCTCTCCCTCACCAGCCTCGAGGTGCTTCACCTTGCGTACAATAAGATAAATACCCTTGCGGGTGTCACGTGTGCAGTAGAGGAGCAACAGCAGATGCAGGAGACTAACGGTGGCACGGGTCGCAGCAGCAGCCTCAGGTGCAGCGCGACGCACGACAGCACATCCATTCGAAGTGCCGCAGCATACTATGCTCAAGAGAAGCAGACGCGGCCTACGACGACGACAACAATGACGGGTGTTCGAACGGATGATGACGTGCATCACCGCGCTCCTAGAAGTCGTCATTCGGGTGGTGACAAGTGTAGTAACAGCTCTGGCAGTGGTCACCCTGTCGATGGCATTGGTTATTACTCACCACACCAAAAACCGATTAGACGCGTACATCAGGTGTCAGAGTGCAGTCTCCATGATGTTCTCTTGCCCAACCTGCATGCGTTGAATCTCTCCTTCAACAATATCCCACCAGGGGATATTCTGCACCTGTCATACTTCCCATTTCTTGAAAAGCTTGACCTGAGTGGAAACAACCTGCGGACTCTGCCGGAGGACCTCGCGGGGCTCACGAGTGTGACGCATCTCGCACTTGAGCGCAATCAATTGCGCGACGGAAAGACAATATTTGCCGCACTCTCTACGATGCCAGCGCTGATCGAAGTTAACCTCAACCATAATGAGCTGCGCCACGTGCCACCGCTGTCAGTGAAGGATGGCCGTGGCCTCTGCTTTCCCACGATTGAGGTGATTGGGCTCGGCCATAACCGCTTCTCGACTCTGGGGGACGTGGTGGCGCTCAGCGAGCTTGTGCGAACGCTGCAGCGCGTGGTGCTCGCCGGTAACCCCATCGCCCGCAAGCGCAAAGAGCGGGGTGCGACGCAGGCACACTTTGCACAGGCTGTGATGAACCTTTACTGGGAGCAGGCCGGGATTCGGAGTAGTGGAGAGTATGGTGGTGCCAGTTACTTTTACGGTGGCCCACTGCACAACGAGTCAGCGCTACACACGCCAGAACACCGTGAACACCAGCGGCACGAGGGGGAAAACGATGTGGATGTGTCGGATGAGCAGTACCATGGCTTGGACAGCCTTATTGATTCGTGGCGACAGTATGAAGAAAGGGGACTGAACTCCAAAAATTCCTCGTATCGTCGTCGTACAGATCAGTTTCATGAAGAGGGCGAATCATTTTACGCTGATGAAGATGGAAAAGGTGCAAGTTTCGATCACACCGCGTCATCTGCGCAGATTCCCCCACCGTTTTCTCTATCACTGGACGAAGGCAGCACTCTCAACAACATCTTCTGGTACGGAGATGCAGAGCCCCCCTCTGCGCCCCGCATGACGACGGCCGATGACAATCATGCGGCGCCGAGAATACCGACACCATCACTCCTGCGGTTTGTGGAACTCGTCTTTGACGATACGGTGATGCGAAAGCAGAAGCCAAGCTATTTCTACGCCAAGAGACGCCAACTCGTTGCAGAGAACGAAGGCCAGAAACAGCTACATCACCACCCGATTGAGGAGGAGTCTGCGCTGCCGTCGTGGATGGTGCACCCTAAGACAGGACTTGTCACGGTGCCGAACTACAGCGAGTTCATGGACATTTACCGCCTCATTGATGAGTCGGCGAAGTCGCTGCACGGGTCTGGAAAGCGCTCGTACAACACCACCGCACACAGGAGGCAGCGGAAGCGCATGGCGGATATTGTGGTACCACCAAAGCCGGAGGATGAGGAGGAGGAAGAAGAAAAGAAAGAAACTGATGCATCTGAGGCGGTACCCGCACAAGCAGCAGAGTTGCAGGGCGATGAGACTGATGATAGTGATGCAGATGCCTCGTCATGCAGAAGTGTGTCCTCACGGGACGTTGTCTTCATGACTGGCGTGGCGCTACAGGAGGACGACGGCGATAGGGCACCACGAAAGAAAAAAGGGAAGAAAAAGGAAGAGGTGTGGAAGCAGCAGGTGCAAGAAGATCTTCACCCGGTGAAGGAGGAGAATATCAGTGGTGAAGCGAATAGACAAAAGCAACAGAAGCAGAAGCATTTTCATCAACGTTCCTCACCAAATAGGCCAACAAGGGACTCCTCACCGCAAGCCGCTGATCCCCCGAGTACAAATGTTCGCATTCTTATGAATGAGCTTCGCCGCATGTTGCGCCGTCCATTGCCGCCTCTCCCCCCTGCTTCCTCACGACAAGCGACATCTGGGAATGCGCAGCCGTTGTGAAGTGGGTGAGGTTTTGTAGCGTGCGTATCTGTTTGGGGTGAGTTCTGACTGGGCCTGCTTTTTAGCTATTCCACTTTGGAACAGCAGCTCTGAAAGTTTGCTGCGTTTTTGTCTTCTTCGCTCACTCTCTATCTCTATGCGTATGTTTCTGTGTGTGTGTGTGTGTGTGTGTGTGTGTGTGTATGCGTGTGTTCTGGTATTACATGTATGTACAACCGAGTCGTGCGGACCGTTGCGTGTGCGTCCGGCATCTCCATGTAGTGTATGCGACCCATCTTCCATACGTTTCATTCATTCGGACATGGGCCACAATGGAAAGGAGAACCTGGCAACTGTGGTGTTGTGCTCTGTCATCTGTTGCGCGTTATCTTTTCCTTCTTTTGTTATTTCATCCTTTTGCTTCTTCTATGATTGTATATGCATTTGTATTAGGCGGCTGCAGATGCGCATGGGCCTGCGGAGCGTAGACGAGGCGTCGCTTTCACTTGGGGGACGCCGTGGTGGTCGAGCCGCAGCACGGCAAGACACGGTATTGGATGACAGCAGCAGCTGCAGACCCAGAGCCTGCAGCCGCGGTGCTGGCGTTGTTGTTCATCGCGAAACGGCAGTGAAACAGACACCGAATGCAGCAGCGGCATTGTTGTTGGTGGAACGACCGACAAATCTCGGAAACCGGCTGCAGCGTGACAGCAGCCCTGAGAGCTGTGGGATAGGGTCATTGCTTGCACTTCCTCTCTGCCCCTCCGCCTCGTCGTCGGTTTCCTCCTCTACGACGTCTTGCGCCACGAGGCGACCAGTGTTCTGCTCCCCTTACTACAGATGGGCGCCGCTGCACACGGCGTACTCTAGCGCTCTGGTGAATGAGCACGAATCTGTTATCCAATGGTACGAACAGCAGCAGCANAGTGAGGAAGCTGAAGAGGAAATCATTGATCTGTGGCTCGCGACGGCCAAGTCGCGCTCTGATGCTTTGCGTTTGTTCGTGCAGAGGCACCGTGTCTTTTACGGTACACTGGACGAAGATAAACTTCAGTTGGTGGAGGATTGTCAGAAGCGGCTTTTGCAATGTGTAGAGAGAGCACAGACACGACAACGTTCACGCTTATCCAGCAGCACTATTAGATCTTGCTTAGCTGGTGCTCGAAGTGCTGGCCGTCCATTTGCTACACGAGCGAAGCACATTAGTTTCGCGACACCATTGTTCAAGTACTTTTCTACTACACCCTCGACGAGGGAGGGTCTCCCTAGTGGTTCCTTGAGTATATCTACAGCCTCTGCTTTCACATATGAAAATAACTGCTATAGTGACGAGGTGTACACTGGACGAACAAGTGGTGTGTTTTATGGCAACACACCTGATGCGCTGCTGACATCCACCGTATGTCATCAGCGGCGAGAGAGGGAACACGTCCTTGAGTACAATACCGTGAATCGGAAACATGAGATGAAGGAAGAGGTGGTGGTTGAGCCTCACTCTTATGATTCGCAGCAGCAGAAAAGAGGTGATTTGGGGACAGGCAGGGATGATGAAAAAACGTTTGGGGACAGCTACCCGCATTGGCTCCTTTCCAGCTCCGCGACGGCGGGGACAAAAGCGCGGCGGCACCGACAGCGACAGCGGCGGCGGATGCTTCAACTGTACATTGTGGTTCTTGCCATATGCTGCTTGCCGCTGCTCGTGGCGATGACGTGGTGGTGGTAGCGGGTGTGCGAAGGAAGGCGGATTGGCAAAAAAAAAACGTGTAGCGGTGTTTTTTTTTCGTTGTTTTGCGGAATGGTGGGTGTGGCGATGTTTTATTCTCTCTCTCTCTCTCTCTCCCTGTCGTGTGCCTCCTTGCCGATTTATTCCTGTCCTTCGGTTTGCATGTGTTGCTGGCGATTGTTCATTGAGACCTTCGCTGTAGCAACAGCAACAAGAAGAAACCAAGGAGTTGCTTTCTCTTCGAAGATATCCGCGTAGAGTGATTGGGTTGGCGTATGGTGGAGGGTTATGGGCACCGGAGTGTTGAAGGCAAATGCTTTCTCACCAAATGCGTATACACAAACCAATTATATGCCTGTCATTTTCTTCTTCTGATGTTGCTGTTGCTGTTGCTATTAATGCAGAGAACCACAATGTGCCTGCACGTTCTCTTGTTGTGCATTCTTACGCAGGTACTTTCTCTCCATTTCTCTCTCCTTTGCAGTTGTTGTTGCCGCTGACTGTCACTGCAGGAATCCGCTGCATGGACGACAGCGAGAGGGAGGGACGGCCCAGCACCGCGTTGCCGCGGACGCCGCGGGACGACGACTCGCCCCCTAGGCACCGCCACCACCGAAGATCGAAACGAGCGTCGCTGGTGCCGCCGCCGGCCACGACGAGCGTAGTGACGTCGCGTGGGTTCGACGTGATTGTGCGCGGCGTGCTGGAGGGCGCGGAGTGCCACGAGGCCGATACGCTGTTTGCCCGCACCTATTGGGTGCACGGTAGTGACTGGACGCCGCTGACGAGCGTCACGCGGGACGCGCTCGCCACCGGCGAATCACCGCTCGTGCGTCCGCTAGACCGCGAGACGCAGAGCGAGGTCATCACGCAGCTCTCGTGCCGCTCAGAGGATCCATTTTCACGCTTTACGTGGGCGGCGCCGTTTGAGTGTGCGCTGCACAGCACGAACCCACACGGCTGGCCCCAGCTCGTCGTGACACTGCACACTGTCTCGCGTGTTATGCCGACTGGCAAGGTGCCGCATCAGGGCGGCGCCGGCGGCGGGTGGGAGCGGTGCGTGTCGTACAGCCGTTGTTTCATTCCAATGCGCAGCGGCACGTACCGCAAGAAGCTGCCGCTGATGCAGCTGGTGCCTAACACGCGGAAACTGTGGTGGATTAGCTGGTGGACCGGCGAGCGTCTGGAGCTGCGTGACCCGGCCTTCCTCTGCAGCGGAGAGGACCGTGGCGTGCTGAGTGCTGCGCCGCTTGCCGGACATGTTGCGTTGTCGCTCTCGGTCGTCGTCAGCGGCCTCGCTGAGTGTGGCATCGAGATGTGAGGCACGGTAACAATTGATGCCGACGAGAATGTCAAGATGTGCGCAAGTGGATGATGATAGACGACGAAAAGTGTCATAGATGAAGTTTCAAATGAGCACAACGGGTGACGAATGATGACAACAACAGTGTGATGCTTCACTTCTGCTTATGTGTAGGCGTTCTGCTGCCACTCAATATATATATATATATATTGTGAAGTGCACAGACAAAAATCTCTGTTGTGCCCCTTGATTTTCTCTCTGTTGCCGTTCCAAGGTAAGTCTGTACGCGAAGGTGAAAGGAAGCAAGGAAAAAGGAGCCTTCGTTCTTCTTTTTTTTTTCGGCTTGCTCGATTGCTCTTCTGTATATTTCGTCTTGGTGCCTTCTTACTCCGGGCAAAGGGAGATAGAGGCACGGATTACGAGATCGACGAGGAATAATAACGTATATAGTTGTATAGCACAGGAGTGAGCGCTGAGGCGAAGATAAAGAAAAAAGGGGAAAAAAGGCAGATAGTGATTACACCGAGATATAATAATAGTGTACACCTGCATAAGTGCGTGGGTCTTGTTGATAAGCCATAAAATGAGGGGATTGAAGACAACAAAAGGATGTGACCCAAGTAGAGGTGGTGCAAAACAGATGGTACGTTGTGATATGCCCACGCTGCTTTCCTTATTGCTGCTGGTGCTTGCTGCTGTCAATGCTGCTGCTGCTGCTGCTACCACTGGTGTTGAAGCGTCTGTTGTCGGTGCAGGGCCGCAGTGTGCTTGGGTGTTCAGTGCCGACGAGGGCGCCACGACGACAAGTGTGCTGCGCCGCCAATGGGATTACAATGCATGCGCCGGCCAGTACCTGACGGTGGCAACGCGCGCTCCCGTGCTGCCTGGGTTCGTGATCCCCAATGCGCACTTCGCCGCTGTACAGTATAAGCCCGCCATGACGGGGCTTCGGGAGGGCGAGGTGCGCTACGTTTCGCAGCAGTTGACCGTCACCTGTGATGTTTTTACACCGCTCTGCGCAAAAGCGGAGGTTTACTACGTTATCCACGGCGCGGTACCAAGCCCGAGTAATACCACCACAACGGAAGCGCCAACAGAGCCCAACAACAACACAACAACAACTACTACAACGACAGAGGCGCCAACAGAGCCTAACAACAATACCACAACAACACCCACCACTTCAACAGAGGCACCGACGGAGCCCAACAACAATACCACAACAACAACGGAGGCACCAACGATCATGCCACCCAGGTGCCCAGCTACCGGTGTTCCTCCATTGGTGGAGGCGAACCTGTCAGAGTCTGTCCGCCTAGAGCCGCTCCGCTATGTAGACAATTGTGCAGCACCGCAACGCCTCGTTATGAGCAGCAGCACCAGCAGCAGTAATGCCACTGATGTGCCTCCAACAAATTATTTCTCCATTGAGAAGGATGTCATTCTCTGGTTCGACCGAAATGCGACAAATAATCAAGAGGGTCTTTTCAGTGCTAATCTGACCGTTTATTGTGGCGGTGTCCCCTCTTGTTATGATGTGCAGGTACAGGTACTTGCTGTGCGACGCCCCCTCACGCCACCGCCGACTGAGTTGCCGCCTGACTGCGGCCTCACCTACGGCTACCGTGTGGATTTTGAAGAGAATGCTCGACTTGTCATAAATCCGCACGCTGAAGATGCGTGTCCTGTTGGCACTAACACAACTTTTACACTTGTGACGGCGCCGAAATACAACCCGGACAGGTTTCGTCTCAATCAAAGCACAGGTGTCTTCTATTATGCCGCGCCTGCAGGACCTCAGATAAAAACCGATGCGTTTGTGTTTGTTATTGGCTGTACCTCCGCTACTGGATCAACAAGTAAGCCAAAATGCATGGGGCACGGAAGTATCTTAGTGACAGCAGCATCTCCGCCCTCAGAAGAAGAGGAGTGCCCCGGCTATTTCGTCTTTACCTACAGCAAGAATAACGGCGGTACCGAAGTGGAGGAGTCCTACAGCCTTATACGTGCTGCTGATAACAGCAGCAATGCATCCTTCTGCTCTGGTGGGAATTACACTGGCGCGCAGCTTCGGGCACCGGCTGCGAACGGTACCGTCACGGATTTCAACAACAATACCGGTGAGTTTCACTACATTGCGTCGGGCGACACTGTAGACTACTTTGAGTTTACGTTGACGTGTGTCACGAAGGATGTGTGTTACGGCACCGCTACTATGCAGCCCCGTGCGCCGACGCCCATACCATCACCGACACCGACACCGACAACAACACCAGAGGGCCCGCGGCCAGTGTACGACCTCGACAGCATTGTGTGCAGAGGCACGTGTGATGCAGCGGCGTGGCTCTCGTCGCCGCGGTACCCGAGCGTGTTTGACGTAACAGACGGACCGAGGGGTGACCGAAGCCACGTCACGCCCCGCCGTGACGGGAAGGCACCTGACGCAATGGACTTTGAGGTACGCGTCGATGGGCAGTCGCTGGTTCTACGGGCGTACACGACTATTGGTAATATGGCCGCGCGTTTCGTCACTTTTGCGCCGCTTAGAGGCTCTGGTAGTGAATACCTGACGTCAGCGTACCTGCCTAAGGATGCGGGTTCCTCGTTTAACGCAACGTGCCTCGACCATCAGGCAAATTTTGGCCTTGCCTCCTCTATATGGACATGGGATGGAGACGATGACGAAGAAAGTGACAACAACGAAAACAAGGACCTGCGTGGGCACCTCAATTCAGAGACAGGCGAGTATGTGAGTGGGGAGAATTATTTCCACAAGTTTGGAGGAAAACACCGTGAGTGCGACGTGTTTCGTACTGATCCTTGCAAGTATGCACCGATGCTGACGCCCTCTTCGGCCGGCATCGCGGGCACAGACATTGACTGGAAGTTATACGTGAATGATTGTGATGCAACATGGGTGGGGAACATCACGCTTGAGCGACTGCGTCTGCTGCGCAACAGCACCACTGGCATGCCACTCTTTAAACTTGTGAATGGGTCAATGCTGGTGGGCACCATTTACTCACAAGTGGTGAAGCCTGCGAGCTGGTCTCCACCATACAATGGGATATTGTCAATGCAGCGCGCCTACACGGTGCGCATTTTTATCGGGAGCTCCATCGGCACAGCCGTCGACATCTCGCCTGAAGATGTGACGGTCATAAAGGAAGGTGATGTCACATCAAATCACACAATGGAGGAGGCAACCCAAACAAAATCAGCAGTAGAAGCAGCCGCAGCACTCAATGCATCGTCACTACAGGGCAGAAGTGAAAATATGAGTCCATTCAACGTCTCTGTCGATGTGCGGTTTGCCGCTGCGATAGACCCGCTGACAGGGGAACGCCTCTATGGATATTCGCTGATGCTATACCCATACAGGCTGAACTACTCCGATCTCATCTACAGTGTACCGAAACTTGATCACCTCAACGCCACGCAACTACACGTCAAGAGTGTGGATCTTCTGAATATGTCGTGGGTGACACCGAATCCACTGTACTGCCCCGAATGTACTGGCAAGGCGACAACATGCAAAGGCACTGGGACCGGCCTCAATCTTGACTGCGATCCAATCATCCGCTTCGAGCCAATCGGGCAGCTGCCTATATTTCCTCAGGAAGAATTCGAAAGCGGACGTGAAGGTCAGTTTCTTAACATTTCCTTGGTTGCACGCGTGGTTGGAAACGACACGTCGCTTTCTGCTGCAGGTGACCCACAGGGTTCATTTGCGTTGCTTATTGGCTTTGTCAATGGTCTTGACATTGCCATCAATGTGCAACAGATAGCGCATATTAGAGGAATCAACCTGGCCATGCGAGGGTCAGTTTGCCGTTCCTCTGCATACTGGCCTGTGCCAGATACTCTTGGTACATCGGTACCTATCAACCCGTTCAACGCCACCCAGATGTTGAATAATTACATCAATTGGCCTCTTGATGGCGCGGAAGCTGATGAGCAGAAGCCGTACTACGGTGCCCCGCGGCCGCTTCACCCTGACACAGTATGTGTAGCAAGTAGCGAACTGAGGCGGCCGGAACGCGTTGTGTTAAACAGCACAACCGCCTCTGTGTACCCAGACGAGCAAGGGGCTCCGTTCATGAAGTTGGCGATGTGTGCGGCGACGGGTGGGCAGGTGTACGGCGTGACAGACTGGGTTTATGTATCACTGGACGACATCACCAGTGGCGCCGCCGCGGATTTTTTGGAGCACATATCATTGGAGTATCTCATTCTGTCAATTGATGCATGGGATGTGATGGGCGTGTTGCTGCCTAGCAACGTCACAAAAGATGCAAAGCAGTTGCACTTCGTACTCGATGGCGCGTCGCTGCCTGATGTGGTGGGTGATGATGTATTAGGAAAGGAAGAAGAAAAACAAAAGTGGATGGGCGACGTGACTGACGCGAACACGCAAGTTTTTCTTCCCTGGGAGAAGTACGCTGCGTACCTTCGGTACCGACGCATTGATCTTCGCCCGAACCTAAGTCCGAACAAAACAACATCGTCTGTGGTGAACTCATTCCACTTTGCGTTTGTGCCAGGTGCTCTTCTACATCGCCACAGTAATACACGTGCTGTGTTTCACCTTCGCGCAGCTCTGCGTTTTACGTCTTCTGGGGGAAGTGGCGAGTCGCGTGTGGAGGAGTACCTCTTTACAATCCCTGTCTCTGCGCAGATTTCATCGGAGCTGCGATTTGACCGCGACGCGTACACGCCGCAAGTGACACCGAAGAAGTCTGGTGGACTCAGCAAGAAATCTGCGACTGCGCTGTTTATAGTCCTTGCGGTTGCTATCGTTGCTGTACTTAGCGCAGCCTTCTATGTGGAGACACATTACAATCGGGTACTGCGCTCCGCGAAGCGGCGTCTGCGCAAGCAACTCGCCAGCGGAAAAGCTGATGCCTTTGGATCAGAGTCGCCACAGCGGCCACGGGAGCATTTCTCACCACTGGTGGATCATCCGGGTGACTTTTCGATGAGCGGTGGCACCAAGAGCATTGTCAAGGCTGGTGGAAAGGCGGAAGAGAGCAAGGTGTCACCGGCGCAGGCGACAAAGCCGACGACGACGACGCCAGTAACAGGTATTAAGACAAGCTATGGCGTAGTACAGATTGAGCAGAGCCGCACACAAGAGCAGGAGGAGGGGAGCAGTGAGGGCCCATCGTTGTCTGGTACCCTGGCGGTGCGTGTAGAGGAAACGCACGCCAAGGATGATGCCAGTAGGGTGGGAGAGGATCTCAAATAGGGTGAACGAGCGGATGTAGATTGAATTTTATAGGAGGTCAAAGGGAATGGAATAAGGTGTATCAGGTACAATTTATCAACACGTACGCCAACTATATGAAGTGCATGTGATAAGCTTGAGGCCCTTTCTGTTTACTTCCTTATTATTCCCTTCTAATTTCCACCTTCATTTTTTTTTGTTGTTGTTGTT